GATGTTCTTAGGCTACCCAGAGGATACTTGGTCAAAGACCGGAAGTCGTGAGCTGCTTGAGTCATATGTAAAAGAATCGTTTCTGGCCACTCCCACGTGAATGGCGATCAGAAAACTTTCCTCACTTGCGTGAACTTCTACACATGACTCCATCCTCCTGAATGAAAATGTTGTAAATATATTGCAAAATCAATCGCCTTACTCTCTTTTAAAGCTTTTTAACTTAAATTTAGAGAATATTGAACTCAAATTGATTAAAAAGTGTTGCTTACAAATTTGGTTAATTCAATTAAACCTTTCATAAGCACACATGCTTTCCTTTCCACATATTGAGAAAGAAAACTGAGGGAGAGGAAAAATAAATTGCAATTTTCTACGGCAACACTGGTCAGCAGAAAAGAGCGTGTAGGCTGTAATAATACTATGAACTGCTTTTCTAGTTGATGCAAAAATTATACGTAAATAAGTTAATGAAGTATGAGTTTGATAGCATAAATATTTATTATATAAAAAAAAGTAAAAAAAAAAAATAAAATTCTAGAAATTTAAAGATCTAAAAACAATATCAGAATATTTGATACATTTGGGATTGAAAAATTTCAATTGCTCCAAAGTTATTAAAAAAAGTTATACAATACTTGTAGCAACTGTATGTATGTTGGGTCTTACCAACAATTCGAATTTTTTTCAAACCTCAAACGTAATTAATGAAAATTTAAAAAACTCATAAGTTTGTTGACTAGTGCACTGTAATTTTCATTTCGTTACTTAACTCCATGCACTTAGTGCAATCATACGCCAACATATGAAGTCTTTCAGTCCGCTTTTGTTGCTTGAACCAATTAAAATTTTCTAAACAGCTCCCACACCACTTAGGAAATTTTTGCGCAACCATTAGTCTGAGGTTATCGTTGTTTTTATAGTTCTCGCTTGAAGTAAACTAAGCAGAGGCCAAATTGTTGTTGCCTTATATGTGCATAGGTGCGTATGTATTTGCTCTTAGCTCGTTCCGTTTAACCAGTTCACTTTGGCCAGCCTTGTAATACACTCCTTTTGTCGCACTGTGCCAAGGGAATGAGCACTTGCTTTTATGTTTGTATGTGTGTTTTGTGTGTATACGTGTTGTATGTTTATACGTTTTATGTACGTGTATGTGTGTTACGTAAGTACGTGTAACTGTGTGTTACTGCGATGCAATGTGTCGATAAGTAGGTTTATTTGCCGCTTGATTGCTCAGCTGTTTCATTTCATTTAATGTTCTGGCCAGCTCAGCGCCGCTCAATTCAGTCAATGGGCAACTAAACGGCTTATTGAGGCATTTTAAGCACCGTTCACGTCATTTAATGCGCGCGAGGGTACTTTTTTTTTATTGATTACAAACGCTTTAAAGCCATAATATTAGCAGAAATTTAATAAATGAGAGGGAGAAGGAGAGAGAATAATATATTTCTTTCTTTCCTTATTATTACTAATTAATATATTTTTAATATTTTAAGTGCTCTTAATTACTAAGTTTGGCACGAAGTTGGTAACACTTAGAAAGTCACGTCGGAGACGCTATAACATAGCTTCGAAGAGCCTTATCCAATTATCCCCGAATTTGAAATTCTTGCAAACAGATTTGTCCTTTCAAGAAGCTGCTTGTTTGTCGGAACAGCTGATATCGGTCTTCTATAGCATATAGCTGCCATACAAACTGATTAATCAAAATCAAGTCCTTTTATAAAAAAACATTTTATTTGACAAGATATCTTCATGAAATTTGGTACAGACTTTTGTGTCATACAACGCTTTAATCTCTGAGGAAGTTATTCAGATTGGCCTACCATAGCATATAGCTGCCAAACTGCTCGTTCAAAATCAAGACCTTGTATGGAAAACTTTTTTATTTGATAAGATATCTTCACGAAATTTGGTACAGACTTTTGTGTCACGCACTACTGTAATCTCTGAAAAAATTGTGCAGATCGAACTACCATAGCCTATAGCTGTTATACAAACTGACTGCTCAAAATAAAGATAAATATTTTTTATGTCTATTTGTGCTATATTATTGTTATTATAGCATTAGTGTGGTAGAAGTTATTCTGTTCTCTCCTTTTTATTTTTATGTTTCCTTATGCATTTTTATGTATTAAATATAAGCTTTTAAATCACAATCACGTCTTTCTTTATCAGCAGAGAGCTTAAACTTTTCAAATTAAATTTCAAAATTCAATAGTCACATATGCCTTAAAGTTCTTCCGACTCTCTTCATTTCTCTTTAAATTTCAATCTTTAAATACCACAGTTAACATATACGTACATACATATATACACATACTGTTATATAAAAGTTTATAAGCGCTTTAGCTGACTTACCCGTTTCGCTCAATTTCGATGAGCGCTGCATGTGCTGGCAAAAGGTCTTATACTCGCCAGGTGGTGCTTCGTTTGGCGACTTAACGGCATGCATGTGCTTGGTGAAGGCGCCAACAATGGCCGCCATGCGATCGAAGGCCATAATATTGATGTGACCGTTTGGCAAACTGCAAAATCAGACAATGCACAATAGAATAACGGGTTATGTAAGAACCGAGTAAAAGTATTGTGTGTAATGAAAAGGAATGCAAACGGCAAGTCGGCGTTGCCACGTGGAATGTGTGCAGATGCAACAAACGACCTGCACATATGTAGTTTATATATGAAAATAAAGTGTACTTATATGTGTATATATGTTTGCTGAGCAATTGCCTTGTAAATATGTATATGTGGTATATAGTACTCTAGTTCAATAAGTTAAAATAGCCCATAGTAAGCGGTGAAAAAAACAAGAGTTCATACTTCAGCTGCGCTGAAAGTTTACATTTGCTAAGAAAATTTCCCATTACTCCTCGCCCCTCAGAAATCTTGCACGATTTCGTCCGCAGCACAGCTTCTACGTGGCTAAAGTATCCGAGAGTTCCTGTTTACACAAGCATATAGCGACCCAGTTAAGCTATGCGTGTATGTGTGTGTATCTAGCGTACGTGCCGTTATTTCATTGTCTACATCGGTATTTGTTATATGAGCCTTTGATTGGATTGACATTGGAATTCCTATATAGGCGAACGCGCACAAAATACCGTTAGCATTGAGCATGACCGGCTTAAATTTCTAAAATAAAGAGGAAAAATCGAGTGCTTCCGCATTCTTGAAGATACTTTGAGCTCTATATATTGCATGTAAGTATTATTATTTTTTGTTCCTTGAAAGCAGAAGTTACTTTGCTTTAAGTTAGTAATGTACAAATGATATGTACATTTACCAGATTTTTGATAAAAATTAACTTATCAACACCTCATCTTCCTCAATACAGTTTCTGCAGCTGCATTTGGTCCGGTAAGGTCTAATAAATTCGGCAGCAGTAGCTGTTCCGGTAAGATTCCCAACATTACAACATGAACACCGGTAGGGAAACAATTTCGATCGACTACGGAGTGACCCTCTTAAAGATAAAATGCTCCCTGTATGTTTTACAATCGATTTTCGGCCAAAAGATTCTTGCGACAGCGAAAGAGCTGATGCTGGTGCAGTACTGATCCAGCTTCCACGAAATCCAGCTCTCCAGTAGTTGAAAACACTAAAGAGCGGTGTACCGAACCGTTTCCATTCTACTGAATAATTGAACTAGGGTACCCTTCCTTACCAGTTCCCTATGATTTCGCCATGGCCTGTCAACCTTACTAGTCTTATTACAAAGTGACCTGAAGCTATTGATAACGAGTTAAGAGGTTGCTGAAACAGCTCTGAGTGAACGATTAGGGAGCTAAGACTAGCATCGCTGCCCTGCTATCAGGGTGGATAGTTGCTTCTTTGTAGGAGGCTGCATTTCGGGGCAGTAAATCTACCGCTATCTTAATGGCACCACTGCAGTAGTCAGGAAGATTGAATAGTGTGTTTTCATAGCGGAAGAGTATTAAATTGTTTGATTTTCTCAAATAGTCAAGGTAGATCACATCTTCTGAATGTCCTTTCCAACAAATAAGACAGTCTTTACGTCTTTACCTTCTTCGGGCCAAGTTCACCGGAAATGTCCACTGTTTCAACTCTACCTTGGCTCATTTGTGCAAGAGCCATGCCATTATATTTGGCCGACATTCACGAAACGCTTGATAATCTGCTTCGGGTTGCACCTAGTAACTTATTACGATAAATATTTTGGTTAATTTTAGACAAAGTTTTCATGGTAACCAAACTTAGACACGTCTTCTTCTTCTTCTTTATAAGCGTAGACACCGCTCCTCAGGTCTTTAAACGTTACTTTACATTTACAGCACACAAGAAGCAACTGAGAGAAAAGTTAGCCTTAGACTGAGGGATCTGTCGACTATCAGACCGCAGTAGAATCTTCCAATTGCAGATCACAGCAATAAAAAGAGAGCCTTTATAGCAGGTATAACCCTAAACTTAGGTGTCGGAAAGGATGGTATTTTTAAGCCTCTAACTACTTGTGGATATTTAATTGACAAACATATTATAAAGGTAGCTGAGTCTTGATGGAGTCGATCGCTAACTTTCTGAAAAAGCAGGAAAAAGTAGATGGGTCGTACATCTTTTTCTTCTTTGAGCAGGAGTATTTTCATCCATACGGCCGACATGACCTAACCCTAATTCGCTGAACAATGAAATATCGTCGTATATCTCATTCAGGTCATCGTTCCATCGACTGTGGTATTCGCCATTGCCAAGCAGGACGGGATGATTCAGTCATGTGTAGAAGTTCACGCAAGTGAGGAATTGTTCATTGAGCGCCATTCAATGATATAATAACTTTATTGGGATTGTTTACAGACCACTACATGATGGGCAGACAGCAGGCTGTCTGGAGCTAGAAGAAGAACAAACTATAGAAGATCTTCTTGCGAATGCAAAAAAATTGCTCCTATCGGCCGAGGGTTTCTTGATGGGATCTCGGAGGTTGCATAGATATAATTTTTCGTACTGATGAACGAAACTATGCTTATTAGGAGCACAGGGTGACTTAGATAATATACAATAGAATAAGAGTATTTTGGCACCGGTGGTTTCAAAATGCGTCTCCTAATTGCCGTGGTGGGTCGTCAGATGGCCACTCTACCTATTACGACGAATCGTTAAGGCTGACTGTATACATACATATAAATGATATAGTATATGATGCATAATATGATATAATTTATTTTCACATAGCATACTCTCAAATAAGTTTGTGTCAATAGTTGCAAATGAATACCCGAAACCCTCCGCTGACTTATGCAGGGCGTGTTCAAGTTGTGTGAGTGGATACTTTGGCTGCTTACTTAAGTGATTGCTGCTTCTTGTTCTACTCTATTGGCGCTCAAGGGTTCTTCAGCTAACTTGTAAACCAACTAATCCAGCTTGTTTCGACATAATGTTGGCAAATACGCGACCATACGTATATACCGATACATACAGACGATACTGTACTCCCATCAACTATGTATATGGCCGAGCATATGCACAGAAATGTATCAATGTATGTGTGATACCACTTGAGTGAGTGCTTGTACACGAATTGTCTAAATGGTTACATTTCATATTGTGTTCATTTCAGTGCTTTCATTTAGTGCATGTGTGTGTGTGCGTGTGCGTGTGCATGGCAAACAGATTACAAGCGAGCACAAATCTGTTCGGTGAAGTGCAAAAGTGGCTTACAGTTACAGATGTCGAGTTGTTGAAGAACTGTATACGCAGTTATCTTGAGAGTTTTCGTTAACAGTAAAATTTTGTATGTATTGAGCAGCAAGTATGTGTGTGTGTGTTTGGTTGTCAAGGGAGTAGAATTTTGCCTTTTACCAGTGGTAATTGCGCATGCGCACGTGACTTCGTTACTTAAGTGCAGTTGTGGTTCGTTCAGCCGATAAGCAGTTCATTTACAGTTTTGTGGTTGTAATGTAGAGAAATACAAAAAAAAATATACAAAAATTGCATTTATTTGTAATTCAAAGAAAAGCCGCACTCATATATAAAAGCGCTATATTTTTGGCACTAAAACATACAAGATTGCTCCAAAAAATCTTTACTGTGAGCTAGTAAGAAGAGTTTAGGTGCCGCACAATTAGTTTGAAAAAGTTGGCATCCGTGTTTTCATATATATTTTCAACTCTATTTCAGTAATAAAGTAGATTCATTGAAGTCTCTTGTTGGAGTGTATCTGGATCCCGCATTCAAACCTTTGTATTGTCGATGTTTTTTCCCCTTGAAGCTTAATGTTTGTGTAGAAGATCATGATTCTACTGTTAGTCTATCATATGCAGGGCTTTCCAATAAGAGTGATATTATTACTACAAAACAACACTCATTGTTAAGGAAATTCAAATGTATACTTACATTCAAATGTATACTGTGCCCAAAAATTGTCACCTTATTTTTGTATTTATTTTGAAAATTCTTTATTTATTTTTCCAAATCCATTTCATCCCCGTCACAGTAATCCCCACTAGATGTAGTGCATTATGCCAACGGATTTTCCAATCTTCGAAACACTGGTTGTAGTGTCACTTTCCGGGCTGGCCTTCAGTTCCGTCTTCGCTGCGGCTTGAATATCGTATAAAAACGGTCTTTTGAGCTTGGTGAACAGCCAGAAGTCGCACGGCGCCAGATCAGGTGAATACGGTGGTTGCGGAACGATATGGGTTGAGTTTTTGGCGAAATGATCATTTCATACAAATTCTTTGCTCACTTTTAGCAGCTCACAAAACGACACGTATCTCAAACACTAATGAATATTTTGACATGAAATTTGACATAAATATGACTGACACTACTACCAATCTAAAAAAGCTTCTGAGATTGTTTTAAAACCAGAGAATATTTATACGTTTTTATTATGCCGATCATATCTTCTATGTAGACTACACTTGCCATTTCTTCAGCATATGTGCGTAAATCCGTGCGTAAATCCATATAAAAAACCTTGAGCTCAGATGCTCATAAATTTGCTTGAATATCTTTTTTATGCAGGCAGGGAAAACGTGATATTTAACAATAACACATTGTTATGTGTAGTGCGACAGCAGTTTGCGGCACATTTTTTTATTACATTCACAAAGTAATGCTTTCAAAAATCCCGCTGGGGACCTGGCAAAGCTGAGAACTATTCATATATATAAATATAAGAGCATCGTATCGATACTTAGTTCTCCCTTTGTAGGTATACTTTCACTATATTATTAAATCCTGCTGAAATAAGTGGTTTTTACTATTTAATGACTGATATATGCACACAGCCATCGCACAGCGGCCAAAAATCAACCAAAGTCACCTGTGATTCAGCGTGGGGCTTACCTTACACATACATAAACATTAGCGAACCACTCCCGCAGCAATGCAACACCACAATACGGACACACACGAAATAGCTGCGCGTACGAGCACACGTGAGTGTAGAGGCTGCGTTTAAGAATTCATCTGTTATGCAACAGTAATTTGAAAAATTCGGACGAGTTCGGCCATAATAATGCAGTGACTACTGGCGAATTGCGACCGCTGACTGCCAACCGCCAAC